CCCTCCTCCCTCCCTCCCTCCCTCCCTCCCTCCCTCCCTCCCTCCCTCCCTCCCTCCCTCTTTTTCTTCTCGCTTTTCACCGGAATCTTTTCGCAACCATCCAGATCGCTACTTCAGCCATCACAACAAGTCACGAGAAGGAGGAAGAGGAGGAGGAGTTACCGGCCGCAGCGACTGTTAGGGTCATGAAGATGGCAGCGATGGAGAAGGGAACCAGCTGAAATGATGATCAGGACAGGACAAGGGGGGAGGAGTGCGGAGAAGAGAGGACAGGACAGGAGGGGAGGGGAGGGGAGGGGGGTCCTAACTGTACCTGCCAGGAGTTGCCCGGAAGGTCGTTGAAAGACTGATGAGACACAAGGAAGGAGTCAGGGAGAGAGAGGAGGGGAGAGCGAAGTTGTGTAGAAAGAAGAGGGGAGAGGAGGAAATGGAACAAACACGGGAAGTTGATGGGACAACGAGGTCAAGAGGAGATGGGAAGTGGAGTGAAGGAGGGGGAGAAGTTGGTAAGAGGAGCAGTAGAAGAGAGGAGGGGTAGGGCAAGTGAGAGCGGGAAGAGGAGAGGAGAGGACGAAGGAGGGGGAGGAGGAAGGAGTAGGACAAACTGAGGAGGGACTGTCTTGACCTGCCGCCTCCGGCGCGTATGATATCCTACCTGCTGCTGCTCCTCCTCGCCCCCTTGCATCCTACCCGGCACTTGTCCTTTCCTCCCCATCATGCCAGGGCCCTGTTTGCGTTCCCCCGATCAGCCTCCTCCTGCTCGTCCTCCCCAGCTGCGTCCTCACCTGGTTCAGCGGCATGCCCATTCTCCCTTGCTGAATGCTTCCGCCTGCTGCCTCTTCTTCTTCTGCAGCAGCTCTTGCTCCTGCTCCCCGCATTGCGGCTCCCCGTCCCGAGACTCCCTCGTCGTCTGCTGCATCACTGAGAAAACAGAGGAGAAGGAGGAGGGAGAGAGAGAGGAAGAGGAGATGGAGGAGGAGGAGGAAGGGGAGGGGGGAGGTGAAGGGGAAACAAGTATAGGAAGAAAGTGAAGGAAAAACCGGAAAAGGGAAGAGAAGGGAAGGAGGAGCTCAAAAAAAATACCTTGAGCCATTGCTCCTGCTCCAGGTCCTTGAGCCTGAAAATAAAGTCGCGTCATAAAATAAATCCGTTCGATCCCTCGTCCTCGTCCTCGTCCTCGTCCTCGTCCTCGTCCTCGTCCTCGTCCTCCTTCCTTCGCTCCTCCTGCGCTCCCTCCCCCTCCCTCCCTCCTAACCTTGGCTGCAGATCGCCGACGTGAAAACTCCATGAGGACCATTTTACACTTTTGTTGTGCTCTGCCAGCAAGTCACGGAAAGCAACTTGAACAGCAGTAGGTGAAAGAACAGATGACGTAGGGAGCGAGCAGGATCAAGCGGTGACGAGGGAGATGTTTGGAGGGAGGAGGGGAGCAGGAAAACGAGCGGGAGGAGCAAAAGGAGAGGAGGAAGCGAATGAGACAAGGAAGGGAAGGGAAGAGAAGGGAAGGGG